TTGGCCACAATTACCTCCATATGCTATCTGTGTTCGTGGGCTTTGGTTAATATCGCGTGTTTTCATTGCGATTACGTTAAGGGCTCTAATTGGAGGCCTTTATTCAGATATTACAACAAATGGTTTAGTCTTGCAATCGGTTTATTGTGTTTTGCGTTCATGTTTGCCATATCATGGTATATATCTCTGGCTGTGGTCGGAATTATGGCCATTGTTTTTGTCATTAAATTAGTATATAAATCAGGTTTGAAAAATAATTAATTGTTTTTTACATAAATGTATTAAACAATGCATACATTAATCACATTAAACCAGATGTCAATTGGGGACAAACGCCGGAATCTCAGTTATATAAGACAACCGTTGCTTTCGCTCATAAATTGAACACCACTTCAGAACACGCGAAGACTTTTAAGCCATCGATTCTACTTTTATCGGGACTTCCCATCAATAATGAAGACTTAATATCAATGGCTGATCAGATCACTCGACACAGAGGGCTGTTGTTTGTCGGAGACATCGTATCCAATGACATCGCCTATGAATATAAACTCAAAACTGCTAACGTGTGGAACAAATGGTTTAGGGATAACGATATTAAGTGTTTCTATAAACTAATAACTGCCAAAACAATAGGCGACGGCTCTAACATGTTGATTCAGGTTTGCATTGAAGTCTATTTCATTTATATGTCATATAATTATTTATTTGTCTCCTAAATAGTGTTGTGGTTTTGGCAATAACTTGAGTCCCAATATAGTTATGCTTGGATTCCGGGATTCTTGGAAACAGTTGACGAGTAATGAAATTACCGATTATTTCAATATATTTCAGTCAGTATTTTCATTAAACTATTGATAAATAGACGTAATTTTGAAAATATTTTGAAAAACATTAATTTCAGTGATGTGTTTGAGACACAAAAGTCACTCATTATTTACCGAAACCACAAAATAAGCAAACATTACAATAAGAAAGAGAAGAGCAAACAAAGTAGGAGACAATTGCGGCCAATGTTGTCGAGTATAATGGATGTGACAAATCATGAGGGTATTCAAGATGTCAAACTTGTGAGAGAGGTATCAAAGTTGTCATTCATCGACATATACTGGCTCTACGACGACGGAGGGCTCACTCTTCTCATCCCTTATATACTATCGGAGAGGAAAAAGTGGCGAAAATGCAAATTAAGAATATTTGTTATCATTGATA